CCCATTATTATTTATTATTGTTTTTGAAATTGTAGGTGTTCGTTTTGGGAACTATTTTACCTAATTTCTGAAATATATGCATTATTTTTAAAATTTCCTGTCAATCATACCTATTTCTATTATTTATACAAAAAAATTAAGACAATAACGCTTTGGCCAGACTTTCGCTAGCGGAAACCGGTAGCATTTAGAGAAAATTGTTTGGAGTAAAATACTTTATTAGACAGTAATTGAACGTGGTTGTTTTACAAGGTTTGCAACGGTTCTCAGTTGTGAATTGGTCAGTTTTCAACTCCTGCCTTCTGTTACACACTGTATATTCATCGTTAATATTTATAAAGAAACCGTACATTTTGGTAAATAGTAATAACATTATCAAAAACCAATTTAGTTATAAATGTTAAGGGGAAATAAATTGTAAGATGTCGGCGCGAAAGTATAACTGAAAAGTTCCCATGCGAAAGGTACGTGGTTCAAATCCGGGTTAGAGCCAAATTATTTTTTTAAGTTTATTTTATAATTCAAATCTTTGTGTTAAATATATTTAAAACTGTTATTTTATGTTAATAACCTTTATATCGTAAAATATTGTAAATTTTCTTCAGTGATTGGTAGAAAAAATATACTGTACAATTTCAAGTGGTTTCTTCGCATCTCACTCCGCCTATGTGGCGTTGTGCACAAACTATGTCTCCGTGCAATTTATCATCTTATCTATCCACTCTTGTTGCACAAACTACTATTTGGCTTGTACAAATATTTTATCCATTTTTTGTAGAATGTATTGAAAATAACATTCGAAAGTAGGTACTTAGAAAATCCTATTACCTTAACAAAGTCAGTCTTTACAATACTTATGGTTCGAATTAAAAAATTGTGCACAAAAACAAATGTAGTAGGTATTCTCGAGTCAATCACTTTATTATTTGTTATTGTTTTTAAAATAATAAGTATTATTTGCATTTTTTTAAATAGTTCTGTGCAAACCATACCTATTTCGATTTCAACAAAAAAAGGTACATCGGAATTTGAATAAAAATTGGCATCGCTGTTTATGTGTTTCTATGATTCAGCGCTTTGACCTTACATTCACCTAGCGAGCGAAAGTAGAGAAAATAATTTTGAGCAAAATACCTTACGAAAGGAGGTTCGTGTCTTAGATATGTAACGGCTCAGAAGTCTAAATAGGTTAGATTTAAACTGCCACCTTAATACAAACAACCAATTATTGTTTTTCGTTTTCCCAATGAAACTACGCTACTGGAACTTTTTTACGTTCTTGAACCGAGTCCTTGTCAAATTTCACGATATGTATAAGTTTGTCTCTCTCATGTTCACTCTATATTAATATACAAATAGCTATTGTGGCCTATCTACGCTTCCGTAGACATCTTACTTTATTTTTGATATTATATAAGAAAATGTATTGAATACTTTTCAATTTTTGCAATAAAATATTTTTATCCTGAATGTTTTTTTTATTTTCTGTAAAATACTGGATAATCTCATATAAGTTTGGTTGTGTGTATTCACATACAACAATAAATGCCAATACATATATAAAACTTCGATATAAAATTAAATGGGACGTGAATAAATGAAAATTTACAAGGCATAAAATGCCTATGTGTAAAGCCTTGGTTTCTTTGAACACTCCGTCGCGGTGAGCGGACAGTCCGTCGACCGCTGAGGACAGCAATTTTCGCCCGAGGTGGTTTGTTAAAAAATATAGAAAATGATATTTTCTCTATGTCTGTACGTGCTGTTTATGTATTATGAATGTAAACGAAAGGTACTAAAATGGATGCAATTAAATTGTTTGCGTTGTTATTATTGTTGGAAGAGGAAGAACAAGAGGAACTGGCAATTGCAACCGTCAAAGTTTCCAATAAGCCAGTGGATGAGTTGTTTTTGTGTCGCGATACAGAAGGTGCCTTTAATATCACTGTGCAGCGAAGGCTTTTTGGAAATGAAACCAAATTTAGGGAGTATTTTAGACTTTCTACAGACCTTTTTGAATTCGTGTTGAGTTTTATAAAGGACATAATTTCCAAGAAACCTAAAAATAAAGTCATGATGTCATCTGTATGTGTGAATTTGTCACTCATTGTTTTAAAATTAATAACAATATAGTCTCCGCACACGCCGACGATTCCGCTGATATCAAACTCAACAGATATCAACCGACTCTTCGCGACAAATCAGCGGCATGACGCCGTCCTGCTCAGCTAAGCGGATTCAAGAAAACCATTCCCATTTAAAAACTCTGGTTGGATAAAATCGTCAAAACGCGACGGTTGACGGACTGTCCGCTCACCGCGACGAAGTGTTCAAAGAAACCAAGGCTTAAGATGCTCTTGTTATACGAGAACAAATTTTATGTAAAACAAAAAGAAAGGCAAGAAAATATTTTTTTATATATTAGTTTATTTTTTTTGTTTGTTTTAATTATAATCTAACAATGTTTTTTTTGTTAGGTTAGTTGAGTTTGAAATTATTTACTATATTTTTTAGATAGAAATTTAGTACTTTTGGGTATAGATAGGAAAACTTTTTGGTCTTATAACGTAGACATTAAAAAGGGATACTGTCCTGTCTTTGTCTTGTGCAGTATTTATGTGTTCCAGTTTTAAGGAAATGTCATAAAATGGGTGACGATTATCAAATATATTTAAATTTTTCTGCAGTTGGTCGCTTGCACACAAAGCATCTCTATTTTAAAGAATCCTTAAAAACCTTCCTTGAAACTTTTCCAAAGAATTTAGGTGAGTTCTAGAAACACCACCCCATTCTAAAATGCCATATCAAACTAGATATTAATGAAAATATCTAGATATTTAATTTGGTTTGCAGGTTTTATTTTAATTTCATTTTGGACTGTAACATAAAATTTGGACACGATGACTTTAAAGAACTAAATTAATAGTAATATGTAATAGTTGATAAGCCGATTAGCAAAACCGTACTTTTTATAAACAGTTTGTAAAGATTGTTTCATCAATGTATCACATGCAGAGATGTGAACTCGTAAATTACCGATAAATTACTGTGGTAATTTACCGTAATTAACCAGAAATAAATTACAGTAATTTACAAAGTAAATTACCGATTTTTGTGTAAAAACTTTACATTGTTTACCATTATTTACGGCATTTTCTTGTAATTTACCATATTTCGCGAAAGCGACGCAGAATTTCGGTGACAATAAGCGTTGGATAACTGCTCTTCATTAAAACTTCCCTCAAGGCATCAGTTAGCAAATAAATTACTAAACAGCGAATATGATCGTGTAAAAAAGTCCGTGAACGAAAAAATTCATACTGCTAAGACTGTAGGGATTCAAATTGATGGTTGGTCTAATTTTCGGAATGAATCTATAGTTAATGTCCTCCTTACGGTAATTTCAAGATTTTGTAACTGAGGAACTGTTTGTTCTTAGTTTTTGATGGTGTATGTAGGTACTTTTTTAAATAAAACATATAGTAATTATTTCAAGTTGAAGTTTTATTATTTTGTTCGGAATATTCATTAGGAATGTCAGAAAATTGTATTTTGTAATATGGTAATCCTATTCTTACCACAACTGAGCCTGTTTTATATAAAATAGTAGATACGCAAGCAGCTCGTCATGAAGCAACTTTCATGTGCAACATTATATCCGAATTAATTGATAAAATAGGCTTAGAAAAAAATATGTCAATTATAATAGACAATGAAAGAAACATGACAGCTAGCTGGAATTTACTTGCAGAAAAGTATTGCCATTTATACATCTAAAAAATGGAAAACTGTCAGCAGAGACTTGGTGGAAATTAATTTGTTCAACAACAAAGTTAAGCAAAGTATCTGTAGAAATATTAAACTGCCCACCGTCAACTGCTGCCACAGAACAAAGCTTATTAACGTATGGAAATGTCAATACAAATAAAAGGAATCGACTAACAAATGAAAAGGCACAAAAACATGTTTATATTAGACAAATTTTAAATATAGCGGAATGTTCATCCGGTTCATTACAATATTCTTTGGAGTCTGAATCTGAATATGAATCCGACTGGTCTAAAGTAGATAGCGAAACTGAACTAGATAAAATAGTTGATTAAGAGATCTCATTTAGTCCAGCTCATTGTAAAATGCCAACGTAACATATGCATAATATAATTAATAAAGCATAATCTTATATAATTCTTATAAAATTTGAATAAATTTTCTTATACAAAGTACGAGTAACTTAAGTTTTTTTAGATCAAGCACCTGCACAAACAATAAAATTTCATAAGTCATTATTAGTCATGTATGTGTATAAAATATATTACGGTAAATTACCACAGTAATTTACGACACAAAATTATTACCATGGTAATTAATTTTAGTAATTAAAACCCGTAAATTACCACAGTAAATTACCAAAAATATAAATTACCGTAATTTTACATCACTGATCACATGTATTAACTTTCATGGAATTTTATAAAATTTATATTTCTTATAGAAAAAAAAAAAAATTTATTTATTGCAGTACACTACAGATATAATCCAATTGATACATGGCAAGAGCAAAAGGTAGTATAGACAAAGATATGAAAAAAAAACAAATAAAAAATAATATCAAGCTGTCCCAATTACGTTACCCAAAATATAAAAGTCCGGGCCTGATTTGCTTCAGTTAAATTGTCTATATCTATTGATGTATGGATACATTTATTAAGATAAATAAATATTCGTAAAATAATCTCTGCCAATTTTGACCGAATTACCTATTACTATACCAGGTATATTTTAGGTAATATCCTTTCTTTCTAGTTTAAGTTAACAGGATGGAAACAAAAAAAAAAACATAAAAAAGGTATGTCGTTACTTAATTGCCAAATTATTGGCATACATGTCGATTTAAATAAGAAAAATCGAGTAAAATAGTAAATACAAAGTCAAATACATCGTACTCAGTATCTAGTCTTATTACATAAACTATAACAGTAAAAGGTAAAAATGGTACTCAC